CCCCGCGCTCATCGGTCGCTACTCCTCGCGTCGATCAACTCCAGGCTTACTCCGCTTCGACTCTCTCTTCTTCTTCTTCTTCTGCCTCTTCGCCTTCGCTTCCGCTTGCTTCGTCCTCCGCCTCCGCCGCCTCCTCCTTCTCCTTCACTGCCCCCTCCTCCTCCTCCGGGTCCCGCTATACACGCGTAGACACGCTTCTCTGGACCCTGCCTGACCACGCAGACGCTCGAGTAGACGCCCGACGACGCCGATCGACGCGCTCTCTCAGAGACGCCCCACCACCCGCTGCAGCTCGCCGGCATGCTACGGCACTAAGCTCTTTCGAACCTCCCTCCGTGACCTAAACATTTTATACACACCTTTATTAGCCTTCTTTTATCTTAACTTTGCTTCGCCTCGCCTCGTCTCCTCGCGCTTCCGGCCTTCGCATCGATCAATCCGTTTTCGATGTTTTCGACGCGAACGTTATCGTCCACCTACGAGTTGCCCTATTTATCCGGAGCTTTGACATTTCTCGTGCCACGACCTCGTACCTCTAAATAACGAAGACGTTCGCCGGAGTTCGCACCGGAAGCGAGAAATATTTTTCTAGGAAAGATCAAATTTCTTTTCTTTCGCGCGACCGTCGAACCCATTCCCCCGCTTTCGTATCGCTTGGACGATACGAGAGAGTCTGGAAAGAGACGTCGTCTTTTGCAAAGTGGAATGCGCGCTCGATGGCGTAGCCGATGCGCCGATCGCTAAAAATCTGACAACAAGCGATCTAGGAAAAGAGGAGGCGAAACGAGCTACCGCTTAGATTTCGGCAAGTCCGGGAGTCTGGGATTTATAGCGGACTCGCGCTATATTTAGTGAGCCTAAATACTAGAAAGCTTTACCAACGTGCAAGTTTCTCGCGTGCGCGTTCGCTCGTTTCCGCTCGATCGTGTCGCGCGGCGAACCACTTCGAAATCGACGAACGGTATCGACTCATTGATTCCCGCGTACGCGCCATACACCGTCCTTCGTTCGAATCTGGCCTCGTTAATGCTCCGATATAGATTTTGAGGAAAAGCATCGATCAACGAGATCTACGAACTCGGCACGATAGATACGGCACGCGATCGTGTTCGAGATACAATCAGTTCCGTCCGATTCTTTCGTTCGTCGTTTCGGATCGCTGTAGCGGTTTTCGCGTAATTCGGAATTCGTCTGTTCGTTCGTAGCAACGGTAATAATCGGTAACCGTTGACGCAGCTTGCGCGTCTGTCGCTTTGCGTCGCGTCGAAAGAACGCGAAGACGATTTACGGGTTACGTTCGTAAGATGGTCACCGACTGGTGCTAACGAGTTAAATTTAGTTCGCTACTTTGCTCCCACGGAAGCATCGAGCAAGCTGGGCCGCTTACCCGTTTACCTTCTGGCATGCGCTCTGCTCGATCCTCGGGAGCCCTTTTCCTATCGATGCACCGCCCTCTGGCTCTCCTCGTACCTTCGTACACGATCAAAACAGCGACGCGGTTTTCGATCGATTCCGGCAAACACTGACCACCCGAATATATGCACATCGAATTAAATAAAATTAACTACGTTGAATTTGCGGCGCCGATCATCGATCACCGTCTCCCTCTAATCGACGCGATAATTCGGTAGCCGCGGAACGATCCTGTCGATCGAGAATATTGCCTGATCGATACTCGGATTATCAGCGAAGTTGATCGCTAACTGCTTCCAACAAGGAATCTCACGGTCGAAGCCATTTGGCTTCCGTTAATTACAACTTTGTGGGTTAACGATCCAGAAATTGATCTTCCGGGACGTTTAGCTCGACGATAAGTACCGTTTCTAAAATGCGATCGTAAAATAGTCGTCGTAAATTCAATTTTTTTTTTATCCACGCGATCGTCGAGTTTAACTCTATGAAATTCGTTTTAATTCCATTCGAAGCAACGGACAAACAAATTGTAACCAAACGATGCGCCCGACAGCGCGTCTCGTTATTAAAATATCGCTGATCATCGTAAATCGATAAGAATATTTACGCGGCGAATAGCAAAAAATATTGAGAAAACACGGTGTATTACGATGTACCGTTCAAAAATAATATTCCCGCAAAGGTTATAGGATCGGTGGAAAACACGGAAAATTGAAATTTAGAAAAACAATAAACAAAGGAAGAAAGGAAAAATGGCGAGCAAGAGGGAAGACGCGAGAAGAAAAGAGCATCGTTTCCGGCGCAATGCGTCCCACGTAATTCTATTGTCCGTTAACTCGAGCCGAGTTTTCCAGCTTGATATCAATATTTCAGCGTCACAAAGTCGTTTCTCGACTTCGTGAAAGAAGGTCGATCGTTCGTGAAATATGCAGCCTCCGCTCCCCTTTTCACTCGACCTTTCCTTCCTGTTTCCTTGTTTTCGTCTTTCTCCGACTATTCGAAATAAACGATGCATCGAGAACCGTGGACCGCCGCAACTCGTACGACTGCTCGTTACCTACGGTATTCGCGAACGATCAAGTCTTTCGGATATCAGAGAAAATCGTGTTGTTAATATTTTTCTTTTCTTTTCTTTTCTTTTCTTTTCTTTTTTCGACAACCGCTGAAAACTGTATCGATAGTTGGCCGATGCAAACACTTGTTCCACTTCGTTAAGATAACGTCGGATGTTTCAATTAAACGTTCGGATTATATCGTGGCCGGCAGGGACAACCGGGAATTGGAGCATCGCAAGAAACGATGGGTAGAGATCGCTCGATCTCCATTAATTAACCGTCGATTCGCTAATACGATACAATGCGCGCATCTGGAACGCGCCTGGTTGAATTTGAATCAACCAACGACCGTTTCCCGATGAAATTCATTGCATTTCAATGATAATCGGCTCGCTGAAATTCAGACGTCGCGTCGGGTCGCGTCGGGTCGCGTCGGGTCGCGTCGATTATCATTTTTTATTTATTCTTTGCGCCTAGCGAATCGTTCGAAAATCCTGAATGTCGCCGCGAACATTCTCGATTTTTACAAAAAATCAAATTCTCGTCGAAGTAAACCGAGCATCGCCGTAAAAATATCGAGCACGATTCTACCGAGGATATTTTTCGAGTTGGAGCAATTCGTAAGAACGCAGCGGTGGTACGAGCAAAATCGGAGCTTCTTCCCGAAGCTGTACTCGAGATATTTTTACTCCTAGACACATGTCCGGGCAGCCGTCAAGATCGTCGAACTTCTCTTATCTATTATTTAAAATAGAACAATCTCGGATTGTCTTCCAACTTGATTCGTTTTCAATATTTTTCTTTCGTTTGCGCGAATACGACGAGGTAACGGGATAACGAAATCGCAAGAAATATCGTCAACGTCCGACAAGTTCAAGTTTCC